TGCCAGGTTCTGTTCGAAGGAGCCTTCCTTCAGTCATCTCTGCCCATTTGCAGGGCAAACCTGGGAGCATTTCTCTTAGCAGGAGTGTATAAGCCGCTGTCCCTCTTTGCTTGCCGTCCCGTCGTGTGGTAATGGCCCCTGTAGAATAGCCACTTCCTGAATTGACCAGGGAACCCATTTTTTCAGCAGACCCTCTTGTTTAAGAAGATAAATTACAGCACAAAAGCTCAACCGTCTCCACTTCTGACATTTGTGCAACTAATTAGTTTCTGCTGTTACATTCCATCTTCTCTTTCCCTTTGGAGAAAAACATAAACATAAATACGTTTTTACATACTCAGACTCCCATTCGGTTTTCAGAAGCAGGTGCGGTTCCAGTGTCTGCCCTGAGCATGTGACCAGGGCCTCAACGCCACATTTGATACCCCATTGTGTGGCACTTACTCCCACGGCACTGTATCTGGTCAAAGAAGGCCCAATTAAAAACAGAATCTTTAAAATAATGATTTTATCTTCAAATGTCAGTTCCGACCCAGCTGTAAGAATGATCGCCACCACTCACTGAGTCCCCGCTGTGTCCAAGCGCCATGTGCGGTGCCTGACCCCGCTGCGCCCCCTCCACTGCCCGCCAGCCTGGCTCCTGGGGGCCAGCGCCGAGGGGACCAGCCAAGCGGGGTTTTCTTCATGACTGACTCCAGGGCACATGCTTCCCCTCAGGCAGCCCAGGCTTTCCTCATGCCTCAATTTCCAAACAAAGTTAACAATCCAGGCAAAATAATTGGAACTAATTGGAATATTAGACTTAGCATTTTCTTTTTTTATGTATTTTTATTGATTTCAGAGAGGAAGGAAGAGAGAGAGAAACATCAATGATGAGAGAGAATCATTGATTGGCTGCAGCTTGCACGCCCCACACTGGGGATCGAGCCCTCAACCCAGGCATGTGCCCTTGATCAGAATTGAACCCAGGAGCATTAAGTCCACAGGCTGACACTCTATCCACCTAGCCAAACCAGCTAGGGCTTAGCATTTTCTTTTAAGTCATACTGATATTTAATTTTTTTTCTTAGCTGACATATTTACAGACAGTTGGCCCCTGTGGCTTGCCCCTCCCTATGAATAATCTGCTGGTGCTCTTTGAATTTTCAAGGGTAACCTGCCCACCTCTAATTCCCTCTGACACCCAGGGCCGGTGCCCTGCGGGCTGCAGTTGAGGGGTCATTTGACCCCTCTTCCTCCCTTACCTGAGGGGAGCCTTGAGGTGCCTCAGGCCGACAGGTGTTTGATAAGACTTTCCTTGTTCTGTGTTCTTACTCTGTTCATTGGGTGTCGAAATGCCAGTGATTCCTTCTTCCCAGACACCTCTGATGGGAATTTACCATGTAGCATAAATTACTCATGTTTATTGATATATTTGTTTCCAGCAAGAGATCAATTAACTTGTTATAATTTAATATATAGGTTTTAGATTGGGTGACACTATGCAAGTATAAATTCTGCTTATTAACTGATATCATATATAATAAAAGGCTAATATGCAAACCAACCAAACGGTGGGACAACCGGTCGCTATGACACGCACTGACCACCAGGGGACAGATGCTCAGTGCAGGAGCTGCCCCCTGGTGGTCAGTGTGCTCCCACAGGGGGTGCACTGCTCAGCCAGAAGCCGGGCTGACAGCTGGCGAGTACAGCAGCGGTGGTAAGAGCCTCTCCCACCTCCGTGGCAGCACTAAGGACCCCTCAGGGGATGTCCGCCTGCTGGCTTAGGCCCACTCCCCATGGGGAGCAGGCTTCGGACATCCCCCGAAGGGCACAGGCCTGGCTGAGAGACCTCCCCCCCTTCCCAGTGATGAATGTCATGCACCGGGCCTCTAGTTCTATTATAAAAGTCTCCCCAAGTCCTGCCAACGTTCCCTTCTCATAGCTCTCAAGTCAGTCCCTTTCTCAGCATCCTTTCTGACCCCATTCAGCTCAAAACCAAATCCGCACCTACCTGGTGGCCGAGGCACTGTTCCCCCTGTCTCCAGGTCCTAGGGAGCGAGGGTGAACATCCAGAAGCACAATTTGACCATTTACTTCATTGCCCACCTTACAACCAACCCACTAGTGCCTTCCTCAGCTGGTGAATCTGGCATCCCCAGCCCTTGGTACCTGCCCTGAGTCACCTGGCTCTCTGCTATACACGATCCTGTCTGCTGCCTCCTGCCCCTGTACATTCATCCACACTCCTCCCTTACCCTTTTCCACCCCCACCTTTACCCAGCTGACCCCCACCAGGCCAGCTGCCTCCACCCAGTGTCTCCACAGCAGACCCTTGTACTAGCTCGTGTCCCTGGCAGGGCCTGAATTCAGTAAAACTGCCCTTCTGGCCCCAAGCAAAACCAAGATCCCTGGAGTGAGTCGACTGGTGTGTGACAAACATGGCTGTGATGTGAGCCTGAGCTTGTGCACTGGGGCTCTCCCTCGAAATGCCCCCCACGGGGCAAGGGGCAGCCTCTGCTTGGGATCCCACCACACCTTCACCCAGTCACTAACCCAGTGGCTCTGTGATAGCCACCATGGGGCTGCTTCATTAAAATTCAAACACAAACACCCCAGGTGACGTCTCGGCTCTCACAGCCACATGAATGCTTTCACTGGGAAGGCAGATAAGTCAGGCTTCAGAGAGCTGGTGGGGGTGGGATGCATCATTCCTGTCCACCTCACTTTCCCTAGGGGCTCGGGAGTGAGCACTGGGGACAGGCCAGGGACACACAGCAGAAACAGGAGGTGCTATGTTGGTGCTCTCCGGGCCTCTGTGGGCAGCCTTTCAGGAGGCCTGATTTACGATGATTTCTTCTGCTTTTTCATGTGACTGTCAGGCAGGCGAACCTCGGGCCTCCCCTCTGAGCTCACATGGAGACGGTGTCAGGGCTTCCTTCCATCAGTGCCTCCCAGACCCGTGCAGACTGCACACCACATGTGCCGTGTGTAGATCCAGCTCTGACCAGAGTCGGGTGGGTTTGTCGCGGTGTCTCAGTCATTCAGGTGAAACCTGCTCTGGCAGCTTGAGGTTTGGCTTTGTCAGTGACGAGTGGGAGCAGGTGGTGTAGACAGTCCGCGAGATGGCTTATCAGAGTGGTCAGTGAACCCCGAAGCTCCGGGTCTGCCGGCCTCCCTGAGACCTGCTGGTCCTTTGTAGCCCCAGGCCCTGGAGTCTGTGTCTGCCATGGCCAGGTGTCAGCAGCCAGGCCTCCTAGAGGGTGTCTCCGTTTGTCCTTCACAGCCTGTGCCCTTCATAGACGGTTCTGCTTGCTCACAGCATGGCCAGCAGAGGTGGCCGCACTGTCCTGCCTCGGCGATGTGACCAGGACTCTTGTCCCAGGTGGGCCTGTGAAGGGCCAGGAGCGCCCACGCGTGCATGCAGCTACATCCGTCGGAGGTCCACTTTCTGACCAGAAACAAGGAACTGATGTGAACGGAATCATTAGCTTCCGGCTAGGAATTCTGACAGTTTAGTGCCACCGTTTAGAATCAGGCTAAATTTGTCAAGTGACTGAAAGTGAGGTTTTTCAGAAATTATTAGCTAATTTTTTCCATAGAGAATTTATAGTCTCAATTAGTATATCATGATGTTTCCAGCAGCTCAACTTTTCTGGCCACATATGTGCAACATATATCAGTTTATTTTTGGAGATCTGAAGAATTACCTACTGTAAATAAAGTCCCCAAGAAAATTTCTCCGGGAAAGAGGTGAACTTACGGTAATATGGGTGATATATTATTAATTAATAACTATGACCAGCGCTGTTTCAATTAAAAGGACAACGGATGAGAAGGCCTAATAGCAGGAGATGCTGAATTCGAGTCCTATCAGCAGGGAGTCTGCAGCAGACTGGGCAAGGCTGCTTCTGAGGCCTCGATGTCAGATGTTTCAAACTAGCCCAAGGAAAAGGGACTTTCTCCGTAAGAAAGAGGGGCCACATGGGGTCTCCCAGAACCCCAGGACAGCATGTGCTGATAGGACAGGGACAGCTTCCCATTGGACTGAGGCGGGCTGGCATCTGTGTCTCAGTGTAGAGGAGGTAATTTGATTGGCACGTGTGCCCCAAAGTACAGGCATGGGGAGTGCAGACAGGGCTGCAGGCGACCGTACATACAGTGTGGGAGTCACATGGGAAGTGTGCCTAGAAGAATAGCTATGGAACCTTGCTCAAGGAGGTACCAGTTGAGCCAAGTGCCCCAGGATGGCAGGCTTTCTCCAGATGGGTCACCGCGAGATCCCAGGCCTGGGCAGGTGGGGCGTGCGGTGGGCTGGCTTATGGCATGTGAGGGCAGTGGCATGAGAGGAGGCTGAGCCAGGAGGCGGGCTCAGAAGTGGCGTGGCTATTCTGCAGGTGATGGGGAAGGGGTGTGAGAACTTGGATCTGGGGCAGTTCAGAGGTTCGGACCCCGGAGGTCGGTCTGCTTTGGCCGTGTCTAGAGCAGCCCTCCCCCTGCCTGCCCCCCAGGCCACACATCCTTCCAGGGAGAAATGGCTGAGGCCATGGGAGCTGCTTCCTTGCAGGGTCACAAGCCCACGGCTCCCCTCCCAGCAGGAGCCAGGGCCGTGGAGAAGGCTTATAATGGCATTACTATCTGCCTTTCTCCTTCCTGTTGCTCATTTATTTTACTTCAAGCACAGTTATTTTTAGAGTAATAATTTGGAGGTAATTGGCCTTCTACCTCAAAAATACCACCTTTTCCATGAATTATTGTGTGGAAGAGGTTCTGTTACGCCTTCCTAATGTGGTGTTGCCCTGAACACACTCCAGAGTGAAAAGGGTCTCACCAGCCGTTTGATCTGATATTTTTATTTTTTACTGTCCGTTTCTCCCCGGCCTGTAATGAGAAAAATGAACTACTGTCAGGAGCGGTTGCCACACAGTCTCCACTTGCTCCCACTTGATCTGGAATGATGGGAATCAGTGGGGTCTCTCCTGTGGGTAACCCCTCAACACTGTTTTTTCTCTCTCCAGGTCACGCAATATTTAAACTCACGTATCTAAGCAATCATGACTATAAACACCTCTACTTCGAATCTGACGCTGCTACCGTCAATGAAATCATGCTCAAGGTGAGTGTCCTCGGCCCCGGCAGTAGCTGAGCTGGGTTGGCTTCTGCTGGGTGGTTCTCAGGCCTGGCAGCACGTCCTTCACCCCTCAGTCCACGCACGCACGCACCGCAGTTCAGCTGCCCTCTACCCACTCAGCCAAAGCAGGACGCCCTTCGGCTCCCTCCTAGCCCCCCAGAAATCCTGATTCTTCATGTACTTATTTATCCTTCTTAGGCACCATTTCTTTCCTTCCATCCATTGCCAGAAGCCTCTTGAGGCTCCTGGAGCAGACTCTGAGGAAACAGTTATTATTTGAAGACACCTTACTGTACCCAAGGCAATTCTAGCAACCCGTTCAAAACACACCTAACTCGATGCTAGAATTGGATGTCACCACCGCTCAGCACTGCTGGCTGAGCACCGTGGCGAGCCAGGCCAGTGCTTGAGGTGCTGCGGGGCCGACGCAGCCCTGCCCTCAGAGCGCTTCCTCTGTCGAGGGCACGGACATTACACATTGGAACTATCAGCAGCCTGTGAGGGGCAGAGGGGCAGGGCCCGCACAGCGTGGCTGGGGGGCTGTACCAGGCCTGTGTGGAGCAGAGGAAGCGGGGAGGGGCAGGCCACACAGAACCTCCCAAAGCCGGTCGGGCTGGGAAAGGCTGTCCCAGGGTCTTGTTGGTTCAGGAGCCCGGGGAGGGCCTGAGGTGAGTGTTTCAAAGAGGCTCCCAGGTGCTGCAGGCCGCTGCCCTGGGCGCTACTCCAGTAGCCCTGGACTAGTGGTTCTCAGACTTCCAAACAGAATCCTTTCCTCAAACGGATTCATGTGTAGTTGATCAGATAGAGGAAAAAGAGTTGCTTTGGCAGAGCAGGTCTTAAAGCCAGAGGGGCTCCAAGCTGTGAGATGCATTGCCTCGGGGCGCCTCAGTTTCCCTGCCTGTTAAGTGGGGTCATGGCAGCTGCACTGCCCCACACCACACAGGCCTGTGAGAACACAAATCCAATGAGATGCGATAAACCCAGTTAGATGGTTACTCAATCTCTTCCTGAGAGTGGAATCATCAAGCGATAATAATCAAACGCAGCAAAGATCCACCAGGGGCCCGCGCAGTGCGGGGCCGGGCCAAGCACTCACACACCGTCCCATGGAACCTTCACAGCTCCGTGGGCAGCGATGCCTGAGGTTCCCACACTCGAGGTGAAAAGGGCTCAGGAAGAAAGGCACTTACCCAGGGCCATGGCTGGCAAAGCCAGAACTGGACCCCACATTCCAGACCTTGTGCTCCTAAACCCGCAGAGTGTGCAGACTTAGGGAGCTGAGTGGGGGATTTCAACGAAATGGAATTGTTTTACAGAAAGATGCTGAGACAAAGTCCTCGTGGCTGCAAGATTTCCACAAGTGGTAGATGAGGATTAAAAAGATGCTGCTCTGGGGGAGGTGGCGGGGGGGGGGGGGGGAGGGACAGAAGCGGAGACAGAGTCAGACTGTCAGTTGGGGGGAAGGCCAGCAGGTTCATGGACCACCTGGATCACAGCTCCCCCCTCACCCCACCCGGGCCCAGGCCGCGGGGATAGTGCCTGCCGGATGCTTAGAACCAGCGAGCTAAGAGTTACTTGCCATATCGTCACCAGACGGCACAGGGAACTTGTGCAGAGTACTCAGGGCCTAGGTAACGAAATATTCCATTACCCTGTCAGGGCTGGGCTTTTTTTATAGCCAGCATTAAAATATTCAAGACTTGAGAAGGATTCTAGTAAAATTATAATCCTGTGTTTGACATCAAATAATTTTCACAACAGCAGATTGATGACAGAAACACAGGTTTATGACTTCAGTATGAGACCGTGGAAGAGCAAGTGCAGAGAAATCATCTCACAGGACCAAATGCTCCCCGAAGCAGATGCTTTCCTGCAGAATCCCCGAGGCCCATCGCCGCCCCTAAAATGTCTGCTTTCATATCAATTGTTTGCAGAAATACTGCCTCCTGCACGAGACTCGGGGAGAGTCACGCGTGCTCAGGCCTGATTAGTTCGAGAGCTAAGGGCCACGGTCCCGGCGAAAGATTACATTTCACTCCTCCCGTCTCTGACTTTTATAGCAATTTGAATACTTAGCCTTATGGCCGTCCCCACGGGGTCTGCGTGAGCTTTGCATCAGCACCCACTGACTACGGCCCCGGCCCTGTCCAGTCATTTGGCAGAAACATTTCCATCAGAGGCTCTTCAGGGCTCAGTCTTAGGCACGAGTAATCCCTGTGGTGGTTCTAGAATACAGGTGTTTTGCATAAAATGAGCGCTTTTGACTGAAATTAAAGGACGAAACAAGGGCCAGAGGCTGATGTCAGAGAAACTATGATGAAAAGGCAACTCTCCATCCAGTTATTTTTTCTTACTGTGTTTTTCCCTGTGCAGAAACATTAATGTCTCCCATTTACTGAGCAGCAACTGCATACGCACGATCTCGTTCAGCCTTCACAACTGTTCTGCAGTGTGGACGCTGTTTATCCCCATTTTATAGATGAGGAGAGAGAGGCCCAGGGCCACAGAGCGCAGAAGGGCGGAGCGTCCGCTGGAGGCAGGCTGAGGCGCTCCTGAGCCCACCTTCCCGGCCGGGGATGTAACTGAGCTGAACCGCGTGTGGTCCCGGGTTCTGCAGGCTCGAAGATGAATCTCAGAGGAATCATTGGTCTCTTCAAATCGGGTTCTTCTCATGATCGAGTGATGGAGGCTGTGGCTTTATTGGCCATGAAAACTCCCTATATTTTTATGCCTCGAGCTGTAAAATGCATTGAAAGTGAAACACTCTATAGTGCATAAAATTGTGCAAGTTTTAAGCCACAGCATATTAACCAGCTAATGGCAGACCAAAGGGCGTTTTTATCTTTTGATTATTACATTAATCTTCCATTAAAATTATCTATGTGAATATCACAAAGCACTGAAGATAACAAATTTAGGAAATAGTTGGCTACTTAAGGATCATCTTGAAATGCTTCTGTCTAGTTGTATGTGCCAAAGACACACTGAAAACACTAGGTTGGCTGAGTGTGCAAACGATAGAATGCAAAGATGCTCTCATTAAGAATGATAAAACCTTATTTCCACACACTGTCTGGAGTGTCCCGATCGTCAGCCGGCCCTGCGGCCTCATGATTTATTGCTCTCAGCTGGTAACTTGGCGAGGCAGTGGGCCAAGCATGTCAGGCCTTCTGTACGCACACCCCAGCCTTTAATGCCTGCTGCTGGCGACTATCAGAGCAGAAAGTTTGGAGGGAACGGTTCGGAGCCTCGGCCCCCTGTGAGGTGTGCTGTCCCTCGCTGCCTCCCCGCTCTGGGTGGAGGACACGTGGCCCTCAGCGGAGAATCAACAGGTGGTGGCTGGTTTCTGTACCCAAAAGTACCCAGGTTTCTAGTCATAACTTTATATATTTGAGAGTGAAGAGAAATGTTGTTTGCTCACAAAGAGCTCCAGCCAGAGGAGCTGGGGCGGTGGGAGGAGTGGTGTCAGGGCGTGAGGGGGAGGGGGTGCCTCTGAAGAGGTGGGGCCTGGAGAACCGGAAGGTCTGTCAGTCGAGGGCCTGGCACTCACCCCACCCCAGATCCTGGCCCAGACGCTAGCGTTGTGACCTTGAGGCGGTGTCATTACTGCTCCTCGCCTCGGCTTTCCCATCTGAGCGTTGGGGGGGATGATGGCCTCCCACTCACGAGGCTTTTTAATCCTTGAAAAGCACCCCAGCCCTGCTGCTGCCCAGTCAGGGGCTGGTCCTCGCCGCTGGGCGCAAGTCTGCTCACGGCACCACTGCCTTTCCCAGGCTCCTCCCCACCTCACCTTGACCGCCACTGAGCCTCTGCCGTTCCAGGGACACCCCTCCCTGCGTTCCTCTGCTGTGCCTAATGCCCGTGGTTCTCCCCTGGCCCTTGTAAGCCCCACACTCCTCGTTCTCTCTCCAACCCCAGGTCTCCCGTTCCCCCTGCAGGCCTTCCTGCCGCACTTCCCGGCAGTCGCCCCTTCCTGTGTGCTCCTCTTGTCTGTCGTCACTCTGTCATGCTAGTGGACACAGACCTTGAACCAGGCATGGGCCAGGCTCAGGCCTGGCAGATGCTGGCGACCGTGACCGCATGTGTGTCAGCCCCCCAGCAGGTGGTGGGTCCGTGTGTGGGGAGATAAAGGGTCCCGAGAGCAGCAGCGTGCAGAAGGCCGAGCTCCTTGTCCGAGCCGTCACTGGGCAGGCGGCTGGCTGGGCACGTCACCGTGGCGTCCTTAGCCCCTCCCCAGCTTGGCCCTGCCCTCTGCGTGGTCCTGGTCAGCGTCACCCTCCTCCCTGAGCCTTGCCTTCCTGTTCTCAGATGAGCCCTTGCTCTGGGGGGCTTGTGAGTGTGAAATGAAGCACCATCGTTGGGAGCTCTGCACCTGCCCGGGCGGGGGGTTGGGGGGGGGCGGTCGGGGCTGAATGGGGAGCCTTGATTTAGTTTGGTTTTCATTCCTACAACGTTCTCATCCTTCAGACAAGGCAAGTGGGGCTCTGGGAAGTTATGTGCAAGCCCAGGGCTGCACAGCAGGCAAGCAGCCGAGCCAGGAACCAGTGCACAGCCTTCTGGGAGGCAGCACATGTGAGCACGCAGGCTCTGTGGTCGGAAAAGCCTCCGCTGACTGGCAGGCAGGCCGGGCCAGCACTGTCCTCTCCAAGCCTGTGTCTCCAAGCCTGCCGGGCGGCTGCGACCCTGGACCCCAAGCACAGGAGGCCCCTGAGGGCACCCGCCAGATGCCCTTTGTCGCCCTGGGCAAGCGGGTGGCTGCTGCGCATGACGGGCTGTGTCCTCTTGCTTCCAGGTCAACTACATCCTGGAGTCACGAGCAAGCACTGCCCGGGCTGACTATTTTGCTCAAAAACAAAGAAAACTGAACAGACGCACAAGCTTCAGCTTCCAGAAGGAGAAGAAATCAGGGCAGCAGTGACAATGGCCTCCAGCCTCAATCTGCTCTGGAGCTCAGAGCTGCGCCAGGGCCAGCTGGGCAGGGCTGGCACCTTAGGACGGGGCTGGGGACATTTCCACGGGCCGCCCGAGGAGCAGCGGCTTTAAGTAGCAGTGCCCAGGCCGGCGACCGAGAGGAGCCACCGCTGCCCAGCCCCCTCACTGCCCGCCCGCCGAGATGTACATAGCCATGCCCACACATTTCCTTACAACTTGATCAAATTTCTTGAAGAACAAAAATGTACATTTCTTTTTCCTTTTAATAAACAGGTGTCCTCTTTCTTACGGTTGGTATGACGGACCATTCTTTGGGGCAGAGGATTGATTATGTTATTCGCTTTAAAATCTGTTCCCATATTGAACAGGCAGATTGGAAAAGCCGTGGCTCGATTTCTCAGAAGAAATGTTTAGGGCTTAGTCAATAGTTTTAACTCCGCCATTTGTTTAAATGAGCGCAGTGCTCTGAGGACAGTCTCTCACTAAGGTTAGGAAGGGGACCTGGGGGGGGTGTCCGCGGCGGCGCCATTTCCCCTCAGCAGCCTCTGCCCCAGCTCGGCCCAGCACCTCCGACCTCAGGGGGAACGGGGGAGGGGGTGCTGGTCTGCAGGTTATGCTCGGCTCCTGCCAGGAGCGGTCTCCATCCTTGGAGTGGTCTCCAAGTGTCCATTTCAACTAGCGATAGGCCTGCCTGTGGGTTTTCCCTGGCGCTTCTCCGCCTGGGAGGCCTCTGTTCCCTTCCTCCCTGTCCTCACAGCCAGGCGGGGAGCTGCTCTCCCCCACATCGGGGAGCAGTGAGCAGACGTGGGGCCCAGGGAACCTGCTCCAGGGCGGAAGGCACAGCCGCCTGGCCACACCGATGCCTCTGCGGTCTTCACCCCCCCCCCCCCCGGGTCCTCCCAGGCAACGTCCTCCCACACCGACCCCAGGCTCAGGGACCAGGTGTTGCATTGAGGACCTGCCTGCCTTTCAAACACTTTTTTAAATTGTCCAGCAAGAGATGTGACCAAAACAGCATCTCAAAGTCGAGTGTGTTTCTTTGCACAGGGGCCATTTTAATGAATTCCTCTTTCCTTCTGAGCTTTGTTCAGCCAACAGAAGCAGCCTTTTCTAATGTCTTCCACCCCCCAGAAACAAAAAAAATACTGTTTGTAGCTTGCTATCTGTATTTGAATTTTCAGCAATTTTATATTTAGGTATCTTTGAAAAATGTAAATGACTAATTTGGTCATTAAATCCTGTGACATATTCAACATTAAAATAAAAGTTGTCTACGTGTCGTCTTTGCGTCTTGCTTCGAATCCTTGAAGTCCAAGTACCTCGTCCTGAGACAGTGACCACGGTGACCACCTGGTGCCAGTGGGTGTGGAACCGAGCATCTGGGAAACCACCGGGGCCTCCTTCACTGAGCAAGACAGGACGGCCCTCTGCACTCACCAGACGTTGAAATCATCGCCTCCTTCCGTTACCAAATCAGCACCCTCCTCGTATGGTGAGTACAGCACACACGCAGTTCACATGAAACATGTCCACAGGAGGGACCATTTAAGGGGAACCCTAATCACCACCCAAGTCAACCAAACATCAAGACTGTTTACGTTCCGCTCCCTGGGGGCATCCGAGGGTGGGGAGGGGTGGGGTGTGCGGCTCCGTGGCTGCAACCGTCCCAGCTCCTCTGCTCACCAGCCTCGTGACCTGTAGGTAAGTGGTTAACTTCCCTGCACCTCAGTGTCCAGGTCTGTAAAATGGGCTGGAAATGCCCACTTCTCCCAGCTGGAATCAAAACCGAGTGAGACGGTGCGTGTGCAGTGCCTGGGCAGCAGGACGTGACATCTGTTGCCTGGATGCCACGTGCTCCCCAGCGGTTCCTTCTCCATGGGAGACCCCGCTGTGCCGAGCTGTCCCCTCGAATTTCAGAGCCGAAGAAGCTGCCCTTGGCAGCTGCCAAGACCAGCTTCCTCCGTGCCCAGGGAGGAGGGCACACAGGAGCCAGGCCATGGCCCTCTGCCTCGGGGACAAACAGCTTGACTGGAGGGCTTGGCACCATAGGGCTACACCCAGTCCAAGTCCCACCCTCGGGGACTCTACCCCACCCTTTTTCACCAACTGATGTGAAACAAACCACTCATCGAGTGCCCTCTTACAAGGCAGGCCCTGAGGTCGGGCAGATGGTGCTCGAAGTCCAGCTCTGTCCCCTGGTTGGTGGGTCCTTGGAGGAGCTGCTTTACTTCCTTGAGCCTCAGTGTCCTCTTCTGTAAAATGGGGACAATAATCCCTCGAAGGGGCGTGGTGAGGATTGTATGAGTTTACTAGTCAGGATGGCCCAGGCTCTGCTGCAGCAACAAACAGCCCAAGGCCTCAGTGGCTTAACATTTCTCTTCACAGTCAGCCGTGGATCCCGCCATCCTCAGGCTTCCATAAAGGTTGGGGTGCAGACAGAGGGCATGGGGGGGGGGGGCTGGAGAAAGAGCAGCAAAGATGGCATACTGTGGTTCAAAAGTGACACATGTCACTTCCCACTTCCACTCATGGTTCATTGGCCAGAATTAATCACATGGTGACACCTGCTTCAAGGGGACAGTGGGTGTAACTAGCTAGTCCTGCATCAGTGCTGGCCCCTGCCTCTCAAGTGCGGCTAGTTACTGTTCAACTAACCATTTTCTCCGTCCGTCCTCTTGTCCACCTGAGCCCCATTTTACAGATGAGCCAACTGAGGCAAAGAGGAGCAGAGCCCCTCGCCTGACGCCCTGCAGCTGGCAGTGGCGAAGTCAGCCCTCCCACCGCCCACGCAGCTGTCCCCGGGGCCCTAACGCCCTAGATCCTGAAGGCCCCACCGAGGCCCCGCTGGGAGGACCCTGTGCTCGGGAAGCAGCCACGGAGAGGGAAGGGTTAAGCCCGCCGCGCTGTGTCCCCACCACACACCTCCGCTTAAATGCGCAGCCCCATAGGGTGGTGTTCGCTGTGAAAGCCTGAGAGTGATTTGTGAAGTCTCGGAGCCCCGTAATCTCGTCAGTGTAATGGGATTATATTTCAAATCACCACGGCCTGTTCATTACCCATTTAAACTCCTGTGACAGAGGAAAACTTACATAAACCGCACGGCAGCCCTCACCGACTTCCCACTCTCCTCCCTGATTAGACAAACAGATGCTGAGGTCTGGAATGAAAAAATAATGTGCCCATTTATTCATTTTTCTGACAAGTCACAATAGATTTTTAACTGCCAATGAGTGACCTCCCAGAGGTGCCTGCCAGGCGAACGGTCATTTCCGCCAGCGTGGCCCCCTGCCCTGGCGGAGCTGCTGCAGCCTGAGCCCCTCTCCTCTCTCCACACGCCAGGCTGCCTGCGGGCTCGTCGCTGTCCGTGTGCAGAGGGGCTGGGGGCCTCCTCACGGCCACGGGGACACAGCCATGGCCTGAAGTCACCCAGCCCTGCCCTTGTCTAGCCGGATGACTGAGGACACCTTTAATCTCCAGGAGCCTCAGTTGTCCCATCTGTGAAGTGGGGCTGGTGGGAGAGCTCACCTCCATGGTGCAGGTTCAGGGGCACAGCTGGGGCTGGACGTCTGGGAGGAAAGAAACAGGCCACCCAGCGCCAGGCCCATCCGCCACCCTGACCTCTGGCCATTGGGCTTTGCGGGTAGGCGGGGTCACAGCCGCAGAGCTGGCAGGTGGAGGAGTCGCTCTGGCTCCCTGCTCTGGTGCTGCCTGGAGCAGAGGTAAGCTGGAGGAGGGGCAGCTGGCTTAGGGCCCCTGGGTTCTGGCCTGAGGGTCCCCCCTCCTAGTTCTTTTGCTCCTGAAGACACGTGACCCTTGAACTGAGCCAGACGGCCCCCATCTAGAGGGTCCCTATGGCAGGGAGCAGAAAGGGCCAAGCCTCCCTTCATCGGTCGGGGATCTATGAGCTCAGTCTGGTCACATGTGCCCACTCCCCACCCTCCACCCTCCACCTTCCTGTAAGCAGATCCCTGGCCCTGGAGACAGGCAGGGAGGGCACCGGGGTAAGGATAAAGGATCCCCTGAGGCCTGGGGTTCTGCCCTGGAGCCAGCACACACCTCACGCTGTGGCAGACACAGCCAGTCCCACCTTCCAGCACCTTCTCACGCCCTCCGTGCCCCTTCCAGGAAAGGCTCAGCCACAGACTTCCGAGGGGCAAACCCACCACTGGGGGCCAGGGGACAGGTCTGTTATATTCGGGTGCCCAGCCCCCTGCCCAGGGCCTGGCATGGGGGCGGTAGCAGAGAGCACTTGCTCTACCTAAACTCAGCCCTTCACCCCACAAGGGTCTGGCACACCCTCTGGGAGGGTCTGTTCTAGGTGCTCGGGTTGCAGTGAGCCGGAACCCAGGGAATGGTGTCCTCCAGGCCCCTCACCTGGCTGGGAAGGCCGGCTGGGACGGAGGGCCTGGGGGAGATGAGGGCCAGAGCTCCAGGGCGAGTGGGGGCAGGCCAGGGCTGGGATCCAGGGGTGCTGAGGGGGCAGCCAGGTGGTGAAGCATCAAAGAGTCTCAAGACTGAGCTGAGAATCTGCAGAAGGAATGAAAATCTGCCTCCCTGCTGTGTGACCTTGGACCCACAACTCAACCTCTCTGAGCCATTTCTCATCTGCTCAACTGGGACAAAATCCCACCTCCTTCACGGAGTTGCAGGAGGAGTAAATAAGATGAAGTCATGGGCCCGCGCACAGTAGGGGATCAGTAACAGGTAGCCATGGAGACAAGGATGCCCAGTCACATCCTCCCTGGGAACACACAGGCCGAGGCCTCTCCCTGCTGGCAGGACCTCAGGGCTCAGGGGCCGCCCTAGCCCCCCCCCCCCCCCGCCCGCCCAGGGGAGCCCAGGATCCAGCTGGGGGCCTGCGCCCTCCCTCTAGGGCCCCACCATCCGCTTTCTCTCACAGGTGCGCGCCTGCCTCAGCCCCATAGCCCCAGGCAGGGTTCAGAACATCTTTATGCATTAACTGTGAATACATAAGAAATACTGTGAAGCTAATTTTTTCTAAAATGATAAAATTTGTCTATATTATAGCATTCCAGCCCCCAGCTTCCTGAAAGCTAAAAATATTTTAACGTCATATTTCCATGTAAATTTTACTTTAGAATTTAATACCCTTTTAACATACATTAAATTTCTAGCGTTCTTCCAGCCCTTGACTCTTTTAAGGGCTTAGCTGATAGGCGTTGGAGAAAAGCACTGGGGGAGGCTGTAAATTAGTAGAGAAAGTTCTGGAATCAAGGTTGCCCCCAAACCTTCGTACCCACCTCATCTTGGGAGTTGCTCCTCTGGGC